CCCCCCCACAAAAAAACCCACCCACTCAATCAATTAATAAACTAAGCCTCAATCCTAAACTGTTTGGCGTCCGCTACATAAATCCTCTACATCCATTCTGCTATATTTGCAATGGCAAAGCTATGTATGCCAAAGGGTGGTCAGTTGAATATCTTTCGCCAAAAAAATATACTGCATGTATAGGTCAAATATTTCTTTTTATACACACCTTAGCAGAATTCCTGCCTTCGTTACTATAATATTCGGGCTCATTTTATTCTTCCCGTTTGCAACCAAAATCAAAATCTCTTCCCCGCCCCCCCCCAAAAAAAAAAACCCGCCCAATCCAGGATTCTGTGGAAAAACTGTTACTTATATGGGGTGCTTTCTTTTCGCAAATTAACCTAATAATATTCGGTTTATAATTCATAAAAATCATATCCAAACAAAAAGAGATTGTATCTTTCTGTCATCAGAAAAACAGAAATGCAAACATTAGATTAAAATATCCAGAAAATTCAAACACCCTTTATTTGTAAATTTATTTTACATCTAAAAATATGACAAAGATTGTACCTTTATGGAAGATCTGAAACTGAAGGATGGTTCTAACAGTGACTTCGATTGGCGATTGTGTTATGATTGCAAAGTGGTACTTTAGTAGTTTGGTTGGTAGTCGTCAAACTGGGGAGAATAATTTTTGGATGCTGTTAGGAACATTGTAACTTCGGTGGTCTTCACTTCCTTTAATGACACGTTGTATTGACTTACTCCATTATGCCGATTATAATACGAAAATTAAATAATAACGGACTTATTAAAAAATATATTTTTATTAATTTATGTTTGGTTCATTGAACTAAAAGTGAGATTAAAGGAATTTTAATAAATAGATAAACTCTGATAGATTTTTATTTTCAATTTTAACTTTAGCTTTTAAACAGGTTTTTGGGACAACAGATTTGGAGCATGGCGAGTGTGGCATAAAAATAATAATGCTACATTATAGTATTAACAACCCTGGGGTTGCTTATATCGGAGTAAGAATTCAACCGAAATAATCTTATATTTATCTCGAGATTATTATTCATTATCCTTGTAACCAGGGACCACTTTAATAGTTTTCAAATAGTGTGATCAGTGGCGAAGCCAAAAAAAATTTCAAGTGTGTAGAAACTCGAAAGAAGTGAAAAACAATTCCCGACAAAGGGTGTTCAATATATATTATATACCTCTAAAATCTAATATTTATCTATATATACAATGTAATTTTTCGACGAAGAGTGGTCAACTGACCACCCTTAGGACAATGTGGCTTCGCCCCTAGTGTGATCTCTTGTCTACATGTTGGGATTTTTCTTCAACATTTTACTGAGTTAATAACTGCATAGTAAAAGTTATGGAGTCACTAATCTTCGAGCTAGTATTGTGAATTTTAATCTTTTAATCACTAGATTGTTTTTTAGACAAATATTTGAATTTCAAAAGGGTATTATGAAGCCTAGTTTTCCTTCTTTAAAACTTAGCATAATATAATATAGTACTAAGAGTAGTAGCAGTAGCATAGAGGTTTTGCTATTAAAGTTATTTTTTTCTTATGGTGTACGGAACAAGCATCTTTTCTCTTCATATTTTATAGTATAATATCCTAGTTTAATTGCCAAACAAAAGAATAAGTTTAAGAATTCAATAATTCAAAGTAGTGAACTCTTTAAGACTGCAGCAGATGTGATCTTTAGTTTTTATAAAGATAGATCTGTAGGCTCTCTTAGTATATTTTTGTTTGCTTAAAAAAAAGGGCAGCCCGGTGCACTAAGCTCCCGCTATACGTGGGGTCCGCATAAGGACAGAACCACAAGGGTCTATTACATACAGCCTTATCCTGTATTTTGTTTGCTAAAGTAGAGAGTAAATATTTTGGATCAGAATTGGTCAACTAACCCTATTCCAATTAACTCAAAATATGAGTTTGCAATATCATATAATGTTTGGTGAACAACAAATAATAAGACAAGAGGGGTTACTCGGATGGTCAATACCCCAACCTACAACCCTATGGTCGTGGGTTTGAGCAACCAAAAGAGCAATAGCTCCAACAAAGGGGATCAAAGGGGAACGGAATCAAAAAAAAAAAAAAAAAAAAAAAAAAAAAAAAAAAGTACACGAGCACCTAAAGAATAACTAAATTTTGATAATAATGACAAAGTTTACAATTCAAGAGAATAAGTGATGGCTGCTGGTAAAACCAACATCTTGATTGTATTATTCCCTAATGATTGAGCATTATTAAAACAATCACTCAAATCATCATCACAAGCAATCCATATATAATCATTATCTTCATCCATGTATTTTATTCTGAATTTTCCAATTGGTAGTTGCAATCTTTTAGCCAATTCCCTGTCCAAATCATCTTTTCTTGAGGATGAGTATAGCTTAAACTTCATCATATCTTCTCCATATGTTGCCTTCACTGTAATACTGCTGCTGCTATTCACATGATTTGCATGTGTGGAAGTAGCTGCTGAAGTTATTGCTTTCTTCTTCTTTGGAAGCATATTTAATGGCTGGCAATCTGATTCATTGACTGTCTTCTTTCGTTTTGATGATGGCCACCTTCGAATACCATATTTTCTGCATAATCGCTTCAGTGTAGACCGACTAACTGAAACAAGAAAAAGATATAGAGTTTAACTTCTATTCTTTGACACAGTTAGATCACCTAAAAGATAATTACAGATACTGTCCATAATAAGTAAGCTAGAGAATACGACAAGCAACCTGCCACAACATGTTAAATTACACCGAAAGTATAAAGTTGTTTACGTCGTAAGTTTACATAAGTTAAATCCAAAGAAAGAATTGCTTGGATATTAATTCCTGTGGCCTCATGCAAAAAGGTTTCCTAATAGACAAGGTCATTGATTTATGGGAACCAACTTATATTGGAAGACCTTTGTATTTATTTAAGTTTGTAATATGCCCCTCGCGTGCAAGCCTGACTCTTTTTCTTGGACCAAAAACGACGCGTTTCTACATACATTTTGGTTCTTTAAGTACGCAATGAAGGCTGTGTGATGCCAGGTTAAATTGCTACCTGGAAGCCATCTGTGCAGCCCAATCAGTATATTCTTTTTTGTACCAAATAAAGGTTGGAATTGAAGAATGAAAAGGAAAAGAACTTACCCTGAAGGCTTTCAGCTGCATCAGAGAGGTTTTTGTTAAAATGTTGTTTGAGATCATCATAGTTTACAGAGTCTTTAGTTCTTGTTCTGCTTTCTTTCTGCAAATGAGTAACACTGACACATTGCTTCTCTGAAATAACTTGTATATCAGTATTTAAGACATCAGACTGAACCATAATTTGTTGCTGTCCATTATCCACCGAGTTTTGAACCGTGCACTCAGATATAGCTGCATACGAAAATAAAGTTATCGTCATGGATTTCAGTAGCATCATTTGTTAGTCCTTCAAAATTTTGATGGAAAACATGATAACTGCCTGAAACAATGAGTATCTGAATTCTACCTTCTTTCTCTATGTGATTCTCATTGCCTTCCATTAGCCAGTTCCTCCTCTCCTCATCGCACACTTCAGGCATAAACGGACTTTCTCTAGTTTGACATATATGAAAATAATCCACATTCTTATCTGAAGAAACTTTAATAACTTGAACACTTGAATCATGTCCTAGTTCTTGACCTGAAGCAAATTTGAAGTTCTGAAAATGTTGTCCCATTGTAGACAAAATCGATCCGAGCAAGATTGTTGGATCTCCGTTATCAGGGGGCAGAAACAGCTCCAGTATGTAGGCTTCATCGCCATTCTTCAAACAAATAGCAAAAGAACTAGTCAATCCACACCAGCGCGCATAATGTACCAATGGATACTCAATTATGCTGAATTCAGTTATGTTTTCGCAATAGCATAACTCGTCAGAAAAAAATGCTTTCCCAACAACCCCCTGATCTTTTTGCAAAGGTTGTAACTTAGAAATGTCCCGGAAACATAGCATATCGTCGTAATAATAATCGTCATAAACATGGTCATTAGCATCCATTTCCTCATCTGCAACATAGTACACTTCATTACTAGCAGAAATGACATGCTCAGTGCAGCCCCTATACATGCCATTGTGGTCCATTTCCAGATTCTTACACGGAATCCAAACCCGAACGAATGGCAACTTGTGTGTTTCACGCACTATTTTTAACATCCTTTTGATTTCCCCTCTTTCACTTTGTTTCCCTGCTTGTACCTGCTTAGACAAGATTTTGTTCATATGAAAAGTACTAACCCTGAGATGGATGAATGATCAAAAGTATGAAATTTACAACTTACTTTTCTAGCTTTTTGGAGATATAATTTAGGACATTTGAGATCTACTCCCTGCAAGGAGATCAAAATATTAGTCCAACAACAATAAAAAACTCAGTGTAATCCCACAAGTGGGCCTGGGGAAGGCAGTGTGTACGCAACTTTACCCCTACCTTGAGAAGGTAGAGAGGTTGTTTCTAATAGACTCTCGATTCAAGGAAAGATGAAAAAAGAAGCAGTAGCAGCAAGCAATAACACCAGCAAAATAGTTAAAAAAACGAAGCGAAAGCAACAACAACAAGGTAATAAGAAAACCGAAGCTTGGAAAGTACAAAATCTACTAGATGATCTAATGCTTGGAACTCTGCGGAACCTTAAAATGAGAGTGAAACGCCAGAAAAGCTTGTGTCTACTAACTTAAAATTCTATACCTGTATCCATATAAAAGCTACAAATAAGGAGATAGGGCGAACCTCAAGTGCGTTTAGTACTTTTTCAACTTCATAAGTCAAGTAGCCACCTTTCCAAACTGTAACAAGCTCAATCACACCAACACAATTCTTCCCAATAGGTTCAAACACAGGCAAAGCCAAATAAGTCCGGACACCACACCGGACAGCATGATCCCTCATTGGAAACTCTTCGTTCGTGTAATATCCAACATGAGTACTTGATTCTGGCAATTTTTCCTGGAAAACTCGTGCAGGCGGACCAAAAAGATGAGCTTTTTCTGTTCCTTGTTCACCACTTTCACCCTTATTATTAACACTATATTTATAGCCTTGACAGTGCTTCCTATACCAACATAGTCCTTTATATAGATATCTAAGACCAAATGGTTGTCCTGAAGTTGTTAGAAAATGTCTACCTTCAATCTTTTCCAGCCCCCAAAACTGTAGTAGAATTACTTGGGATGTTTCTATTCTCTGAAGTGCTGCTTTAATCTTTTGCTTTACAGCTTCAAGAAAGACAAATCAGAAATCCCAAAATATAGTATGAAAAACAAGCGAGTTTACGTTCTATGCACTACAAATAATGTTAAGCTGACGATAACAACATGTAACTTATCATGACAAACCTAATAAGGTAACATTAGAAAGTAAAGCAATAATAACCTCGTATGACTAGTTAAATTGCACTAATAGTGTTAAATTTCTTTACACTATCAAAAGTAAAAATGGCAGGCCGGGGCACAAGGCATCTCGCGTTAATGCAGGATCGGGGAAGGGCCGCACCCTAAGGGGTATGCTATATTACCCGTCGAAAAATTAGACTGCGTATATAGATAAAATATTACGTTTTAGAGATATATATTATATATTGAACACCCTTTCTCCAAAAAAAATTCGACTTCGTTCAAATTTGAACACCCTTAGGAAAATTAATAGCTTCGCCACTAACTCTAAAGGGAAGCATTAGTGACTGCTTCCACGGCTCGAACAATTGGTCACATGGAGACAACTTTACCGTTGCTCCAAGGCTCCCTTCAGTGTATATAACTTAAATCCAAATCACAAAAAGAAAGAATAGGGGATTGAAACTACTTACATGTTTCTATAAGATTATGGGGAAAGTTAGATTCAGTTTCATTGTTGCTCCAGAAAACCATCAAATGGAAATTAGAACGTTCTTCTGAACAGGATAGTGGTTCTCCCATGTAATTCTTGAACTCAGACGAGGTATATACTTCGTAAACAACATCATCGTTGACAGGCAACTGAGATTTCTCAATCTCTTCCATCCTACTGTATTTGCAAGTGATCAAAAGGAATATTTGTTTAAAAAGATGTTGTCATTTTTAAACTGATTAAAAGGGAAATATTCTGATGAAACGGAAGGAGGAACAAGAAAAGATAATTTAGTCGAATTCATAGATTATAGCAATTCAAGCTAGCGCTGCCTTGTTTGACTTAGTTAAGATAGTGATTCACTGAATTCTGGACACGTGTCAACTCATTTTCTCTCTTAGTTGATTTTACTTCGAAGTCTAATCATCAACTGTTTAATATCATGGAGATTGTACGACCTCTCATTTTGTTACGACAGTACTTCAAGGTTCCAACCAATTAATTATGCATCACTCTGAAAATAATTGAGATAGGCTATATGCATCTTTTTTGTCCATATAAAAACATATCAAATGGAAAAATAGAATTTGCATAGTGAAGAAAAAGGAGGTGGAAGTTACACCAACAAAAGCAAAAAAACTTATAGCCTTAGGCTTACAACAAGAATACAATTGAGATAGAAAACCAAAAAGGAGGTGGAAGTTACCCCAACAAAAGCATAAACTTATTTCCCTAGGCTTACAACAAGAATACATTTAAAAAGGAAAACTTTCTACAATTTCAGATGAGAGCTGCCATAACCAAAACCTACACTCGATATGGACAAAACCCTAAGCACTACAAGAATGGGTTTTACTAGTTTTATATATTTACAACCTAATTCTAAATCATTCACCTGAGCTCTCACAGGAGCTCCCAAGGTTGGGCATTATATCATGAACCAACAACCTTACTACGTTGCTGCCCGATGATCTTGAGATATCGACACATTCCTGCAGGTCTGCATCACACGCGATTAAAACCCACTCATGGTCATCGTCGAGGTACTTGATATCGAAAGTCCCCACCTCTAACTTTAGCCTCTTGGCTACTTCCTCCTTCAACTTAAATATACCAGAACTCAAAAGAAGTCGAAATCTTATGATGTCTTCCCTATACGTTGCTTTTATTGTAATGGACATTACTTCAGGTCTGGTAGAAAACTGTGGCATCTTCTCAGCAGGAAGAGAAACCTGATCCTTAGCAATTCCATTAGAACACGGTGGGTTCGTCCAACTGTATTCCGGGACACGGTCATCAAACATGGCATCTCCAGCCGGACAAAGATTTCTCAGATCATGTGAACTCCCTGCATCCTCAACTAGCATTCCACCAAATAGTTGCTGGGTGTGTTCTGGAATATAAGGCCCAGGCATTAGGAATGCAGTGGATAAATTGATTTCTCCTGTGGTCTGACGAGCTGGTTCCGAAGAGCCACCCACTTTTACAGACAACTCCTGTGTAGGTGAATTAACCAACTCATTCTGAGGGGAAGATTCATTTGCATGGAAAGGACTACCTTGGCATGAACCATGGGAGGTAGGTGTCCCTGCACTCTCTTCTCTCGAGCCACTACCGGTTCTGGACCTATGTGACCCTTCACGCACAAAACCATTCTGCTTCGGAGAGAGCTCTTCATTCCCAATAATCCTACTTTCCATCATTTGATTTGAGGGTTCGGCTTCTTCATGACTTCCTGGTATTCCATGGTTGGAGAGCTCATTCTTCTCTTCATGGTACTCAGAAGCGTTACACGGCGAACCATTCATGCCTGCAGGCCAAGAAATAGAACCAACAGCAACAGGAAGTGAATTTGGTGCAAGTGAAGTCAGGCTGAATGTTCCATCAGCTCCTTGCACTGATTCAATTACACGTTTTAGCTTTGAAAGGGACCGGTTAACCTTGTTTATCTTGCGAGATGGCCATCTGGAGATCCCATGCTGCCTGCAAATGCGCTTCATTGTAGTTGGACAAACTGTATATGCGAGAACATTAACGAGAATAGTCAAATCCGCAATGACACTGGTAAAGGAAAAAATGCACATTTAATTAAGGAAAAATAGTGAAGGATAAGTTCCTAATAATTCGAAAAACATACCACCAAGACTCTTCGCAGCATCCTTGAGACTTCCAGCAAAATACTGTTGCAAAACCTCTAAGCTTATTGTTTTCTCAGCTTTTCCACGTTTTCTCTCTGATTTCTTACCAGTGCCTTTATTCTCAGAGAAAGAGGCATGATTATGGGCTTCAGCTGTACCATTTACGCCCTCTGCAACTTTTGCAACATTCAATTCCACAGGGGCCTGTTGCTCTTCCATTAGATCAGGAGGCACCCTTCCATTTACTACACTAGCAGGCTGAGGAAGAGATTTGGTTGTTGGCACAGATTCAAGCCTAGAACCAAGTTTATCTTCCATGGATGCTTTGATAACCTCAACTGAACCCCAGTCATGCTCAAGTTCCTCCCCAGAAGCAACCCTAAGACTCCTAAAGTGCTGCTTCATCGTCAATAAGAGTGAGTTCAGCAAAGCTAGCTGGTCATTGTAGTCTCCATCATTTGGTGGCAGAAAAAACTCTAAAATGTAATCATCATTGCCAGTGTAAGTGCTCCTTAAGCAGATTGCAAAACAGCTGGACAACCCAAACAAACGTGCATAGTGCACCAAAGGGTACTCCGTTTTGCAAAATAGCCTTATATCTTCACAGAAACATGATTTTTGAGAAGCATATGCCCTTCCAGCTACTCCCTGTCCCTTTTGTAAGTGATGCTCGGCACAGGCCTCACGAAAACCCCACATGTGAGCATCAACCACATAAAATGAAACATCCGTTGTGGACATACAGACCTGTCCCATGCAGCTTCCATCAAAGCTACTGCAACTCTTTTTCAACCCACCACCATCAGCCAGAACACTGCGATGCCTGCATGGAACCCATGTCTGAGCCAGAGGCAATTTATAAGTTTCACATACAGCTGTTAATATCTCCAAGATTTCAACCAATGCATTCTGCCGACCTTCATTACAGATCTGGTTCATAGAATACCCAACGACATAGACTTGTTCAGACAACAAAGAACAACAACTTAGATGAGATATGTCCAGAATTTTTTTTTTTTGCTCACCTGAGTGTTTTGGTGGTCCAATATCTCTGAACTTTTCAGATTCACCGCCTGCAGAAAAACTGAAATCACTTAAAAAGGAGCTCGTGTTCAATGTAGAAAAAAAGGACTGGAAAAGCTATGCATTTGGGTCACATGATGATGTATCCTACTGATAAAAAAATAATAACTACTTAAGTACATATCAAAATAGTTGAATAAACACTAGCTGATAATTTGATATCCCATGCAGTGAAGAGCACATGCTCTAATGCATCTTCATGAACTGGCAAAACTATCGAAATTTCCTATTCACTGCAGGAAGGGAAGCAATCGATTACATGCACATGGAAGGAAAAGACAGATGTGATCTTGAACAGGGAGACTCCAGTTCATCAGAACACATCTAACAGAGTCACAAAATCTCCAAAAGAATGATGAATACACTAATAGAAATACTTTCAGAAGTCCTTTACCAGCTTTTGCTCACCACAAGAAAGAAACTTCCCCTCCAGTCTGTGATTCTAGCATACAACTACTGACACAGCTTTATAGTATATACTTACAGGTTACATGAGATTCATTCTTAATCCCATCATGTACTTAATTAAAATCCCATCACCAATACGCAGCAATCAAAAGCAAGACACAGGTTTTCAAGAACCGCCTCCTTTAGTTGTTCTTATTGATGAGTTGAAAAGACACTTTAAAATGACTGCTAGAAAGATGATACGAGCCAGAAGACACTTCAGCTAAGTCTATCCACTAAAAACTTAGCTGTTCCTTTAACACAAATGTGCACTTCTGCAAAACGCATATAATGATGTATGGCATAGTGCTTAAAATTTGGAAATTTTTTCACCACTTTGATCTATGAATATAACCTCAGTCAGTAACGAGTATGACAAGATTAATAATAATTTAGCATTCAAACACCACAGAATTGGTGCAGCAAACAAGCTATCGAGTGTCAGTGAGACATACCAATTAGTCAGATAGATATGTAATAGAAAGGGTACAAGAGCCAACCTCAAGTGCTTTGCATACTCTATCAACTTCAGGAGCATAGTTGATTTTCTGGGAGGTCATTATGATCTCCAGTACACCAACACAAGACTGACCAGATGGTTCGAATACTGGCAACGCCAAAGTTCCTCGAACATTGTAATGCAGGGCGTGATTAAGACGAGGGAACTCTTTACTGGAATAATACTGCACATTTGGAGTCCATTCTGGCAACTTTTTCCGGTAGACACGGCCTGGAAGTCCTAGAACACCATCAGTCTCCCCATCCACAGCAAACATATACATCAAAGAAACCATTCGATATTGATGAAGCCCGTTACAGTCGGGGTCAAGAACAAAAGGCTGCCCTGAAGTTGTAAGCATGTAGCGACCGCCATTCTTAACAGGTGCCCAGACCTGAGCTAACACTCGTTCTCCTGTTGATTCTTTTAAGTATCGAAGTGCCTGTGTCATCCTCTCCTTGATTATACAAGACCCATCCAGATAATCTAAAGGGGTTAATCCCATAATTGGCAGAGGGATTCTTTTCTTATCATCAGCGACAGACAAAGTTTCAGCTGCTGCCTCATGATCGCCAGTATCTGCTCCAAACACAAAAGGACATGAATCTTTCGTTGGTGTCAACAGCAAAATGATGCCAATTCTACTTCACTTAGAGAAACAACAACAGCTAGGACTTAATCCCAAAATAGTTCGGAGTCAATTATATAAATCATCTATATCCTTAATCCACTTTGCGTGCACATAAATTAAAGAAGCCTACATAAATCAGTCGGTGTAGCTAGTCCAAGGGAGTTTATTTGTAGAAAGACTATTGCAACCCATAGTAACATTCACACATACATAAACAAGTGCTTGTAAATCAAATATGGGTATTATTGGACAAAAACCTACACAGAGACTGACAACGTAGTTTAGGTCAATGTTAAAGGTATGAAAGAATAACGAGTTTAAGTCCAAAAGAGGGGGAAAAAAACATAGTCTGATCTTGCGCTAGATCTTTTTGTTCCACTGAATACCTGCTACCCCCCTCAAAACTCGTATTGGGTAACTATGTCAACAAAAGCTTAGGCAAGTGGAAAGAAATCACTAGTGTTCATTGCTTCGGCTGAGATTTAAATCTGATACCTCATGGTTGTCCTCTCCCACTTCATAGGTCAATGTTTTAGGACAAAACCTGTTATAGTGCAATCTTA